ACGAAAACATTGGTGAATGCCACAAATTCTCCTAAATCACTCGTACGCACAACTTAAGAACAAATCGTGCGTACGAACGGTTCCTGCATGAGGCCCAATGTCTCGTTACCAAATCGATATATTGTAGTATTGTGATAAAGCTGCTGATTTACACTCCTAGCACGAAGWTTGCCACATTGTCTTCCATTTTGTTCACTCAGTCCATGCTCACTCATTCTCCACAGTGTTCCTTAAATCCACACTGAATCACATCAGAAGAAAAAAAAGTGCTGCTGCTCTGATCTCAGATAACTTTAAAGGTACACAAAATTCACATTTTCCTTCTCATATCAATAATTGTGTCCCTCAATAAAACACAACCATGTGTGTTTGTTTACYTACAAAAACAGCCGAAGTGACTGAAAACAGGCCTAGAATGGCGATATCCGTGGACGAGCCGTTTGGGATCAAAAGCTTGACATTTCTGATGTCTTGGTTTGTATTTTCGTCCTTTTTGTTAACATGCACAGACTACAGCCAGCTTAATGGAGGTTAATGTGACTGAAGCTTCCCTGTGGGTTTTCCACTGATTCAGCCAAGCTTTGTTTATGAGTGTGCACCTCCATTTTAGAATAGAGTATCCATAATATAGTCTTTCACAACAACACCAATTGTTTTTTATGTTTAAATTTATGGTTTGCAACCAGAGGCTTTCACCACTTTCAGCAGCAGTTTTCTCAGTCTTGATTTTTTTTTGTACCCCAGTGTGGATTTGCATCCGTTTCACCAGGAGAGTTGAGTCTTACCCAGCTCCCCGTCATGTGTGTCTGAGTTAACCCATTCCTCTCCGGGGCCCATGCTGCCCCAGTCCACCACCGCTTCACTCAGAACACTAGAGTACAACTCTGCAGCAAAGCAAGGTTGGCAGTGTGAGAGGAGACAAATAAACAAGTGGTTATTTACACACAAACACAGAGGTGTGGTGGTCCACTCCAAGCCGGTTGCGCTGCAGTTTCTCCTGCGTGTTTGCACAAGGAGAGGAGGCCCGGTTCTTAGTTACACACATCCTGACTTCTTGAACCGTTTAAACAGGATACACCCGATTCCTGCCACTTGCTTTTGCAGACGGGGAACAAACTGGTGCCACAGAAGTTTAGCAAAAAAGAACAATCGAGACAGAAAATCTGAGGTCATCGAGGAGCATGTTCAGATGAAATCTTATTACGCCACACACCAGCGCAACAGGAGGAAACAGGCCAGCAAAAACTCAAGTTTCACTCACAAACACTCCCTTCCACATTTGAGCAACAGACTTTAAACTGACTTGTTTGTGTTTTACAGAAGCAAAGACTCTAAATTCTAATCTAAAGTTTATATCGGGCTGGTATTTAAGTGCTGCAATAAGCTGCTGATCCTCATTTGCGAGGGACGGAGACGTTTTTGCACAAAATTAACAAGCTCACCACCATTCATCATGAGACTCTCATTTGGCCAAAAGGTCAAATGGCTGAAAAAAAAAAATCAGTTAAAACTAAAGTGGATGTCAAGCTGACAAGTTAAAGTGTGTGTGTGTGTGTATGTATGTATGTATGTATGTATGTATGTATGTATGTATGTATGTATGTATGTATGTATAAACTGTCTGCTGAGCTCCACTACTTCTCACTCAGTGAAGCTCTTTTCAGACTCAAAATCCCTCGCGCGCGCGACCCGCCCCGCACTGAAATGGATGGGACAGAAGCGGAAGGTGGTTCTTAAAGAGACAGAGGGTAATTTCTAGGTGTTTAGAAGAGGAAGTGATGAGAAGATAAGTTTATTTTTTGTATTTAAACATTAAAACAGCATTTTAATAATAACTAAATGTGACATAGATACTTTATTATGGTACAGTATTTAAATATATGCCCGAGAAACACATAATATTGCCCCTTTAAAATTACAGTAAAGGATGCTCAACACTTGCACAAATATTATAATACACTACTTGTTACTGTGAAGTTTTTTTTAYTAACCTTAACTAGATTTTAATATTCCCCACTTTAGCATTGTTTTAAAGGAGAAACAACTATGTCATTTGTGAAAATGAAGCAAATTACAATAAAACTTATTGGCCAAGCTGAAAAAGAATTTAAATCACTCATWGATGAACATCTTTCATTCATGATGCTAATGCTGATATCAAAAAATTTCATTGCACATTTTAGTCTGCATATTTAAGTGGCATTCGGTCTCTGCTTCCGAATGCCATATAGATGTTTAGCATTTGTTTGTTTTAGATTTTGACACTGAAAGATCCCATTCAGTTCAGCTGCTTTTTATTTTGCATGAAGTTTAGGTCAGAATGATTGAAGCAAACAACTCATTCGTTGTTTTATTATACAGTATTATTTTCCTAAGGAGATAATTTCTTGGAGTTTATCAGACTTTCTGTTTGACGTGCCCTGTCGATTATTCTTTACAGTTCAGACTAGAACAAAAACAGCCATTGTTGTGTGTCTTGTTTATTTTATATTTTAGTGAATTAGAAGTGGGCAAATCCTAAATTTGACCCGCTACTTCAGATCCTCCTCACTAACAAAGGTGGTTTATGTTTATAAATTGAGTTGCAAGTGTTTGTTTCTTTTTCATGTCGTGGATCTTATACCGGGGTACATATTGAACCATGACTTATGCGTAGTTACACCTCCATTGTACAGGACAACTGTTTCTTGATTAAAAACATTTTTCTTTTCAGTACTTAGGAGTGAAATGCATCGATCCACACTGATATATTGATTAAATTCAATACAGCAAAACAAAATCATTGATCATATCATCATCATACCGATGTGGATCAATTGTGTTAGATGGGCGTATGACATTGCATCATATCGATCGCAGACTTGCGAATTGAAATCATATCATGACAGACTTTGTGATATTAAGAAACATTGGGCCTCATGCAAAAACGTGTTCGTATTCTTATCCTAAATTTCTCTTACTTTTGTTCGTACAAAGGTTTCGTACGAACATGNATTTACTGTACATAAACACTACAGAGTACAGACTGTATACATGTTAGCTGGCAGAGAGCAACTTTATGCAATAATTAGCAAAGAAAGTTGTCATAATGATAAGGCTGATGTGTGTACTACTTGTTTAAAAAAGGGCTGAAAACTCAAAAATAAGTAACTAAATACTTGTTGGTTAAGAAAGTTTTACTGTTTACGAAAAACCTTCATGCAAATATTTCAAATTACAAATATTACAAAAGCACAAAAAAGTTTCTAAAGTATCAAATTGTATTAGATTTGCATAAAGTACAATCTAAAAATGATCATTTGCAAATGAATATTTATTTCTGTAAAAAAAAATCCCCATTTCTTAAAAAATATTTTTTGTATTATGGATAATTAGTTCCATTTATTACTAATTTACACATCATTATCCGTGTATTGTAATAATTCCTAAATCCCTGCTGTTTAATTGTTTTTAGACTACTTGTCTTTGCAAGTTGCTTCCTGTGGTACAATTATGACCCCTACTGGTGTAAAACAACAACTACAGCTGAGGCAACAAACAGGTAAATCAGAGACAAACACATTCACGTTGTATCATTTGCCTCAGCTAGTGTTTATTGTCTTTCACACTCRCAGATAAAACAGTGTTTGTGTCTGGCAACATGAGCAACAGTATTATCAGCAGATATTTTCAACAGCGGCAGCAGTTTAAAGATAAGAAAACAAAAACTCTTGGTGCAAAGTTTATTACGATTTCATTTTAAGAAGATATACACATCAACATGTTACTGTTTTTCCATCTATTCTGCATGTMTAAAGAGTGAAAGCCACCCTGAGGTTATTGAGAGTTCCATCTCTGCTCCATTATTGATAGTCGGGTCTTTAAACAGAAATAAATCTGTCAAAYTACCCATCACTCTGCATCATCAGCTTCTTTGCTGACGCCCTCGTGGTCTCCATCAAAATAAAGTGACACTTCAACATGTGCAAATTTACAAGCGTTCTTTAAGGGATGCAGCTCACACCCTGGACTCAAGTCTCAAGATGTAAAAAAAACAAACCCTGAATGTGTGTTTGTGTTCTGCTCTCAAACGATTCTGAACAGATTTCACGCATATTTTTGGTTTCACTCGTTTTTCAAAATGACCTAAAAACACAAAGAAACAATAGGTGAGCTGTCAGTTTTTTTTTGTCCAAGAACCACAAGACTGGTAATGTGAAATATAGCTGCTGTGAAGGCACCATTTATGCCAGTATCACTGGGACTGGAATAGAAACGGAAAAGGGTATCAACTAGGACACGTAAAACAATCGATGCCTAAATTGACAAGTACCCAATGTAACACAACCTGATTTATTTGCATTTACAGGTAAATAAAGAATGGGGAAAAAATGTGAATTGCAATTTCAGACTCAGAGAATAAAACAAATAAGGAATTAATTTGCTTTATATTTCACATCAGTTTTCAAGTACATTTCCTGTCAGCAGGTTAATAATCAGTCAGATAATAGTTTCAGTGGAGGAAAACGACAAAAAAAAGGTAGGAAACACACGTCTATGACGTTGCATAAAAACCCTGAAAAATGATGGTAATTTGTCTCTAATGAGGCCCAAATGTTCATCATTTATATCAGTAAGAAGTAGCAGTAATCCTGACAGTGTAACGGAGACTAAAACGTGCAAAGTAGTGTCAAACAGGTTGATTCGGGTTTTTCACTCACCCATAACTTCGACACCGTTTCCCAGAAGTGGGTGAGTGAAATTCTCT